ATAAGTCAGGAAAAATCCTTTTGCTCTCTAAAAAAGGAATCAACCATTTCCAGGTACTTTGAACTTGTTGGAATTCATGGAAAACTGGATCCTTTAGTAAATGTTGATTTAAGACCAGAAAAAAGAGTAAATATTACATTTACTTGCGGAAATAATAGCGAAGTTCGTTCAGTAGACGTATATCGCACAGTTAGTGATTTAAAATCGAAACTTGAAGGCTTCGCTGGTTTTTCTGCTTCCAAAATGAGGTTTTTCTACGTTGATCAAGATTTAAGGGACATTCAGGTATTGTTTTTGTTTTTTATAGGGAACCGTTAGGTTGCTGCTTTTCCTAGGAATACACAGTTTTAAACTATAGCTAAAGAACTGATTAAATCACTAAATTAATGTAATAAATAAATATTTATGTTGTGATGGTGATAATGATTTTTCCTACATACATATTTTTCTAAAATATTTTTTAAAACACTACGAATAAGTTCTATAAAACGTTTATATGGACTTAATTATTTTATTTTTTCTACAGTGTTTCATTTAATTTATTTATAGACCTATCTTTTTTGTTAATAAATATGTTAACATGATAGTCCGAACAATACTTGGGACACCACGCACCTCCTGACTTCCTTCTTATTCTAGCCAATTTTCACGTTTCCCGGAAAATCCCACACTATTGCAAACAGACTTACCTGTAAAGTTAAACAAGCCTCACGCGTTTCCCTATTTCCTCTGAATCGATCTTCCTCTAGTGGTTTCCGCGTCCTTCTTTCTATTGATTTAAATACCAAAAAAATGGGTAATTCCATTTATTTTTCTTTCAACTACATTTTATAATGGAGACCATTAAATCCTTGGAAATATAATATAGACAGTATCAGTTATTAATCGCGATTAGAACTTATTAATTCCCATCAGCACGTCGTAGTTGATTTCGATTGGTCGCCTATAAAATCGAAGTTGATAAATATCTAGTAACTGGCAATATACCGCCCTCTATGTTATATATATATATATTTACTGCTAACGGTAGTATTTCGTAGTGTCTGACAATTTAAATGGCGATAAGTGTACTCTTATTTATTTAATATTTTATGATGTTTATTTCACTTCAGAACCGCTCATTCAAATATTGAAGAGTTAATGTCTGCTTTTAGTTTATCGTTCGCATTATGTTACCTTTAATCATCGTTTTCGCTACGAAAAGTCAAATTTCTGGAAAGAATGTTTAATTTGTATTCCTAGGTATTAGAAATCCTCAAACATATGCCCCGACTGAAATTCGTAAATTTGAGTTTCAACTGTCTGGCACTTCCGTTAAACGGCCAGGAACTGGATGAGCAAATTAGATGGCAAAATTTGCGAAATCTTGTTCTGAATTCTACCCGCGTGCCATGGAAAAATATCCAGAGGATATTAAATCATTTGCCAAGTCTTGAAGAGCTCCACCTTAGTCTAAATGATTACAATAACGTCGAGCTCTACGACGAAACATTACACTGTGACTGTGACGGAGAAAAGCCGGAAACGGAAACCAATGAGAACAATGTCGAAAAATCATCCACCGTTATCGATTCGGAATTCAATTGTAACTGTGGCAGTCCAGTTGAACCAAAGAGAAAGCACAAGCATTTGAAAGTTAAAAAAGTCCACTTTACTGGCAATCCTGTATCGAAATGGCATGAAATATGTAAAATCGGGTACGCGTTTCCTAATTTGGAATCGCTGGTCGTTGCGGAATGCCCGATAAAATCGTTAGAAGTCGATTACGACGTTGAAAATTGTAACAAAGAAAAGCCGCAGTACGAGAGGTCAGAGAGCGGCTACGAATCAGATACCAAAACTCCTCACGACAGTTTCAACAAACTGAAGTTTCTTAATTTGAATGCCACTCACCTTTCCACGTGGGACGATGTTGAACGATTGTCAAAGTTTCCAGCACTTCACTGTCTTCGAGTTCAGGTAAATACAAAATTTTGGTATCCTGACTTTACTGTTTCGTACAACTAGATACATTTAATTTTAAGTTGGAATAAGAAAAAAACGCAGTGTTCACAAAATTTTTCATAGTGCAACTCTAATGTGCTCAGAAAAAATTGGTTGACTCTGTGGCTTTTCCTTTTCCACACTTAAAATTGGTAAACTCTTAATTTTATTGATATAATCAAGTTTGCATCAATAGTGACCATTCAACAGAATTAAAAAAGTTTTGTACAATGAATTTTTCCCTCAGCGATGACGTGTAATTGATAAAATATATATGTAATGAAAGTACATATATTTTCATTTACTTCATTATCTCCGCATACTGTACCCGCCTGAAAAAGCCAAAGTCGAAACAATTGTTGCAAATTTATGGGATTTTCATTGTGTATATTTGTATATTTGTTTATTAATTTAT